GAAAGATGTTGATTTTGCATCCAATGTAAAAGGATTGAAAAAATCTGGATGTTCAAGTCCTTACCAGGTTCAGGGAGGAAGTTCCATTAGTAACACATTCTTTCTGTGCCCATCATAGTTCTAAAGCAGGCTTCCTCAACCTCGGCCCTCCAGATGTTTTTGAGACTACAGTTCCCATCATCCCTGACCACTGGTCCTGCTAGCTAGGGATCATGGGAGTTGTAGGCCAAAAACATCTGGAGGGCCAAGGTTGAGGAAGCCTGTTCTAAAGAGTATGAAGCATTACACGACTGTGTTGACTCTGACATACATCACTGAACTTTGGAAGCACATCTTCATACTGCTAGAATGTGTACGTTAAGTGAGCCCTTCCAGTGAAGGGCAAAAGGAAGCAGGCCACAGCACCCATATTAGCTGATTTTTGAAACAGTGACCAGAAAACAGGAGCCAACTCCTAGGGGCTCAGGTCCCTTCGGTCCCCACAATAAAATATTTGAGGGGCTGCCCTCCCCCAGTTAATAGGCATTGCCATTCAAAAGGTGTGCATGCACTTCAACTTTTGACTATGTGGGGCAGGGGTTACCTCAGCCCCCCCCCATATTTTATTCAAGTTGGACCCATATTTTATTCACCCCTGGACCAGAAACACTAAGTTGCAGGGAAATGGCCTACAGCTATACCCAATTAAGGCAGGGGGAAGATGATGGCGCAGTAAAATCAAAAGGCCCAGGGGGCTTCAGTGTCTACGGATGCCAGTTGGTTTGCCAACTGATGGCCCTTCCAGAATGCAGAAGCAGCTAAGGTGCTGGTGGGCACCACAGGCTAGGCACGTGTTGCACCAGTTCTAAAGACCTGCACTGGTTGCCTGTGTTTGTATAAGCACAATTCCAGGTGCTTCAGGTATTTGGGGCCCCATACAACTTGGCCACTAAATACCTGGAGGATCCTCCTCCTTTTAGGCCTGCCCATGTGTTGAGATCTGCAGGGGAGGCCCTGCTGACAGTTGTGTCTCCCTGTGATGTTCACAGGTTGGTCGTGCATGAACAGGACCTTTTCTGTGGTGACCCCCCCAAATTGAGGTATGCCTGGCCTTACCGTTGTAAACATTTCAGCATTAGTCCCTTATTATGGACTTCATGTTAACTTTTGTGGATTTTTTGTGGACCTCTCTTTGAAGAGAGATGAGATCAAATTACCCCTCCCATTGGAGTGGCATTACTATTTCTGCTCATTAATTTGGTTGAATTTATGGTCTCGTCATGTCTACTTGTACTGAGTTGCATGTATCCCACCCTGGGACATGGTGAAGGGTTGGGCTATAAATGCATACAAACAGAATTAGCAAAATACTGGGAGTAGGGATAGATGGGGTGTGTTTTCTTTCAGTCCTTCCTTCCCAGGATGGAGAAATGTGTGGAGAACACAGAAGCAACAAAGGAAAACAAGAACAATAACCAACAGTCATCCTACCTTGAAAGAGCAATAGGCCAGCAGCAAGTGGAGCTCAAGAAATAAATAAAGGTTTTATTTCTTGATTGAGGTTTATCCTCACACTTCTGGATAGCAGGAAATGTGAGATTATCTGTCTATATTAGTGAATGCCCACTGAGAAGTAGCTTTACTGTCCACATATTAAGACTATCACCCTGGTCAGCACAACCATTCTTGGGGCAACACTTTTCAGTTGTGATGCTGGAGGAATTAAAAGGTAGAAAACAGCAGGTGGTGATTACAACTGCCATTAAAAGCAAAAGTTTATATAATTCTTACTTTCGGTGATGATGTGAATCAGTTCCCTGCTGCTGATTGTACAGCAGTGTGTGTCATGCACAAGGAGTTTCATTTATTCGCTCCATTCCCGGTTTCTGTTTTGTCAAACTGCTCAGGGCACCCGGCCATTTGCAGCAACAACTGTATTGTTAATGTTTCGTTAAAGCTCCCAGAAGCTTGTAATTATGAACGCCAAGCAATTGCAATTACTGTTATAATCCAAGCTCTGCTCCAAGGCATGTGCTGCAGCTAATAAAGAGGCAGAGTTCGCTCCAGCTTTTCTAATGAGCTTGCCAGTTTGCCATCATGCTGGACCCAAATAATTGAGCAGGGACCATCCCCGATTCAAGACAGAAAAAGCAAGAGAGAGTTTTGGAGCAGATGTTCTAGTACAGTGGCAAAATGGCTTAAGGAAACCTTCCATGTTCTTTGACTGCAGAGACCAATTGTTATTAGAAGCATTTTTCAAACAAGACTAATAACTTCTATACTTAGCAAGCTATCACGGTAGGATGCAGATTACCCGGTAAGTTATAATATAGGGCTTTGCAGCCTGAGGGATTCCAGGTTGAGCCCAAGACAGAGAATGTTGCAGTCTGGTCTTACACATCGTTATTTAGAAGGAAGTCTCACTGAGTTCAGTGGGGCTTATTTCCAAGTTAGTGAACATAGGGCTTCAGCTTCAGTGACATGAACAGTATTTTCTGAGAGATAGGACCGTTGACAACAATACCAGTGGAAAAGACATAAAATGGTGCATTTGTGAGCAGGGATTTAACCAGTCAAAAGCAAAGGAATGGGACAGCAAGAGGCAGCATTGCCCAACATGACAAAAACAAATTACAATATCAGAGTCAATAGGATAACATTAGGCTATGGTGACTGGCCTATTTTCGTCCCTTATTACGGACTTCATGTGAACTTTTGTGGATTTTTTCTCTTTCCTGAGAGTTAGGCAATGGACTGTTCCATCCCACTTGACTTTCTTTCCCAGCAGTATTATATGGTAGAGGCAGTGGAAGCAGCAGGAGGCTCAGGAAACTGAATGGAGAGGGCAGCACTTGGCTGCAGGGTGCTTATTTCCCTGACCCCTTGCTCCCACTGCCTTTGCTGGGCAAGAAAGCAACCCACAGCCAGGTGCCTGAGATGGAAGCAGCCTGTCTCAGGGAACTGGATCAAGGGCATATTGTTCTCCAACATTGTGGAATGGCCTGTCAGTGGCTTGAGAATATCCACATTCTTTTTGTAATAGGCCACAGCCACTCAAAGTGGCTGGTGTCGTGGACAGTAGTGGAAAACCTTTAAAAATAGCAGGAGGGGAAGGTCAGCTGTGTGACAACCTATCAATTCAAAATAAACGTTTGTTTGGGAATCAAGACAGTACTAAGGGCACCAGGGAGATCACAAAAGTTCATAAAACTGCATGTTTGAGAACTTTAATTTGAGATTAACAAAATTTATAAAAGCTTCTGCTATGGAATCTATAAAGTGAGTTTCCAGATTCTGTTAAAGAATAATCCAATGTTACTTATTCTAATCTCTTTTTTTAAAAAAAATTCTCCATACTACTTATTCCTGACAAGTTGTCAATATAGTATATCCAGTGATATTACAGTGAGCTCCAAACTATCAGCAGAACCAAGCGAAAAAGAAGTACCGTATTTTTTGCTCTATAAGACTCACTTTTTCCCTCCTAAAAAGTAAGGGGAAATGTGTGTGTGTGTCTTATGGAGCGAATGCAGGCTGCGCAGCTATCCCAGAAGCCAGAACAGCAAGAGGGATTGCTGCTTTCACTGCGCAGCAATCCCTCTTGCTGTTCTGGCTTCTGAGATTCAGAATATTTTTTTTCTTGTTTTCCTCCTCCAAAAACTAGGTGCGTCTTGTGGTCTGGTGCGTCTTATAGAGCGAAAAATGTGGTACATCCAGATGGCTCAAAAAGGTGAGCTGTCACTACCATTTGCTAAATAGGAAAGACTGCCAAATACTATGTAGAACTCACATATGCAGTAACTGGGATATAGTGCAAATATTCCTGAACTGCTTCATGGGAGTCCTACAAACTGGAACTTCTACATTATCAACAACTGGCAAAATGGGAAAACCACAAACTTTAAAACGGTGGTTTAGTCATAGCACCATCTAGTGGAATACAAAGTTATCACTGGGAGTATCTCATAATATACTGTAAGGTAAAGGTAAAGGTACCCCTGCCCATACGGGCCAGTCTTGACAGACTCTAGGGTTGTGTGCCCATCTCACTCAAGAGGCCGGGGGCCAGCGCTGTCCGGAGACACTTCCGGGTCACGTGGCCAGCGTGACAAAGCTGCATCTGGCGAGCCAGCGCAGCACACGGAAACGCCGTTTACCTTCCCGCCAGTAAGCGGTCCCTATTTATCTACTTGCACGCGGGGGTGCTTTCGAACTGCTAGGTTGGCAGGCGCTGGGACCGAGCAACGGGAGCGCACCCCGCCGCGGGGATTTGAACCGCCGACCATGCGATCGGCAAGTCCTAGGCGCTGAGGTTTTACCCACAGCGCCACCCGCATCCAGTCGCAGATAACTCTGGGGTTGCACGCTCATCTCGCTCTATAGGCCGAGGGAGCCAGCGTTTGTCCGCAGACAGCTTTCGGGTCATGTGGCCAGCATGACTAAGCCGCTTCTGGCGAACCAGAACAGCGCACGGAAACGCTGTTTACCTTCCCGCCAGAGCGGTACCTATTTTATCTACTTGCACTTTGACGTGCTTTCGAACTGCTAGGTGGGCAGGAGCTGGGACCGAACAATGGGAGCTCACCCTGTCGCAGGGATGTGAACCGCCGACCTTCTGATCGGCAAGTGCTAGGTTCTGTGGTTTAGACCACAGTGCCACCCACGTCCCTGACTTAATAAATCAAGTCAAAAATAGAAGTGTTATACTGCTGTAAGATGTGGCACTGAGTGAATATTTCCTTAGTTTAACTCGAACCCTATGTACATGTTTGTGCTAAACATGACTAAGAAAAAATATTATCTTTTATAAACATCAACAGTGAAACACATTTTGGTTTTTCTATGTGCAATAAAGAAAGATGCTTTATTTCCAGGGGGAAAATGCATTTGTCAGATAACTGGTCAAAACATTATCTTCATAAATTAAAGACTCTTAACAGGGAAGAATTAACTTGAGACATGAATGCCTGTGTCCACGATGAAAGTAATAACTGAACCTGAAAATTAATTTCACATCTGTCTAAAGAATTCAGTCACTTTACTTTATTACACAAAGTTCACTGTGTGTTATTCCAGGAATACTGATACCAACATCTTTGTCATGTCTATCAACATTGAGTAAGAATTCCACCCTGAAACACATTCAGGATATTACGGTACAATTGAAAGGGTATGCAAGATTCAGAATAGACAAGATGTGCCACTGTTCTCATTGTTAACAGTCCCCCAAAGTACTTGCTTTTTGTTCTGGTGCACATGGTATGCCTTTTGATGACATCAGTGGATTTCCTTTTGAGAATTCTTGCTCTAAAGACAACTGGGTATAGTTGCTGAAGGAAGTACATCTAACATTGGGGGCAGGACAGAAAGCACAGCCCTACTCCCCAATATTGCCCCATATGTCAGTAATACATGTATAGGGCCTCAAAGTTGACAGCAGCATGTCCGCAAAAAGATGATTTAGATCAGGTGAGGAGAACCTTTTGTCCCCCAGATGTTATTTATCTACAACTTCCATTACCCCTGTCCATTGGACATGCTTACTAGGGCTGAAGGGAGCTGTAGTTCAGCAACCTCTGTGCGGGCCAAAGGTTCCCTGTTCATGATTTAGATAAAACCCTTCCTTCTAGAGAAGAATCCTCATAGTATAAAGTAATGTCATCATTGCCTGTTGATAAAGGAACTGTTAACAAAATCAGTTTGCAGCTGCCATTTAATGAAGAATTATTCATTTTGTTACAATTCCCAGAGGGACAGCTGTGTTAGGCTGGTGCACCAAAACCAATAAAGAGTCTTGTGGCAGCACAAGGACTAACAAATTCATTATAGGGTCAGCTTTCATGGACCAGAATCCACTTAAGCGGATACATGAAGTGCAAGAGTGGGGAATCTGCTGCTGATCTGCATTTCCCATCCTGCCCAATCACAGGGCATGTTGGTTGGGGCTGATGGGAGTTGCAGCCCACTGGTTCCCCACCCCTGCTGAAGTGCAATCCCCAATTGGCATGGATGTGTACATACATTGGGGCGGGGTGTTGACAGGAGTTAGTCCAAGAGAAATGCAAAAGGACAGTGATAATAACGTAAAAGCAAAATAAGTATTGTAACAATTAACAAGGCTGCATTGACAAAAGCATAAACACCCCATCCTTGGTAGGTGCCACCAGACTCTTTGTTATTTTCATTATCGTGCAATTTAAACACTGTGGTGATGTATGACAGAAACAGGCTGAGAATCTTAACAAGATTAAGCAACAGTGCTGTGGATAGCAACTCAATATAGTGTACAAGAGCAGATTTAGTTCCAAAGCAAGGCAACTGCCGTAACATAACATGAAGAAACACAACAGTAGGTCTACAGGACACAACCTTTGCCTGCATACAATTTTTTGCATTCGTATGTTACGAAGTAATATACAGTCAAGACATGTTTGCATTTCCATCGCAGTACAATTTTGATTCTTCAAATGTCTTCACAAGTTGCAATTCTCTCTGGACATCTTGGTTTAGAGATCCTTTTGCTTGCTCCTGTGGCCTTTGCTTCTGGCATATACTATCACATTTTGCAAAGATCCAATTCTGTAGATAGTTTAGGCAAAGCCTCATCCTACTCGAAGCAAAACAAAATACAGACTGTGTAACTCAAGTGTATATATAAAAAAATCACAAAAATAGCAGTTCCTTGGTTTTGCGGGCGTCTCCATTTTCCTCTGTTTCTGCTCACCTTTTATTCACAGATGTCCATGTCCACTTAAGTTCCTGCAGTGATGTGATTATATCCAACAGCACGAGCCATAGGAAACATTTGCCTCCATCTTCATTCCAGATGGAGCAGTTTTTTTAGCAACTTACCTCTAACTCTGTTACATCAGTTAACAGTAACTATTCTGATGTACCAAAAGCACTACAAGGCACTACTACACAAAGTCAAAGTTATGGTTCTATTGCAATATTTACACTGAGATTCATGTTGCAAAAATAGATAATAAAAATTCAGGTAGCCAAACATAAACCCATTTCTCCTTCTGTCTTGGATGATTCCATGACTGCCAAAGAATTATCTGGAAGAGTATTGGCCTCTGCTGCTAATTCCATTTGATTATTTGCACCTTACGGTTTCTTAAGTTTTTATTAAAAACCACATATGGAACTTCTTACTTCTGCACCTATATCTGACCTGCATAGATAAGCTCATCCTCAAGCTTAGACAAGACGCCAACAAACTGATGAATACGTTCTTTGGTCATAATGCAGTTTACAACATTATCCTGACCTCCCTATACTAAATGATAGCTTGTGAATTCAATACAAAATAGTGAGGGGGAGAGAGATAACATAACCGCCCCCCCCAACAAATCATTTATCATCATTCTGACAAAAAAAGCACAGAAAATTGCAATAGCAATTTCTATTAATTATGGAAATGGCAGCCACTTTACAATACTTAATTAGGAGTAACTAGATGTCACAAAATAAGTGGCTAGTTTTTCAAATTTCACAATCCTCTCTGTCAGACAGGTTGTTAAACAAAACAAGGTGTCATGGAGAGAAGAGATCTGTTGCTGGTAGAGGGCAGGGTAGAAGCCCTATCACCAGTAAAGGACAAGCCCCTTGCAGATTGATTAGGTTAGTTTATGCCAAGTACAGATGGTTCAGGTTGCACCAAAGAACATTGGGACAAAGAATCAATGGCCATCCCCCCTTTGAAAATACCTGAGTAGTGATTCAAAACCAAATCAGAGACAGGTTCAAGTGCTGGCTTTGCAATTTCCAAAGTGAGCGTGGTCACTGATTCTTTGTTCAAATAATTTGCACATGGCATAAACAGACCTAATCATTTGGCAAACGTTTTCCTGAATCACTGTGCTAAGGCAATCACATATGGCACATGGGACTTCCACTGCGCTCTTACTAGCAACACCTTTTTCTCTTCTCTCCCTGTCGTCTTCCATTTTTGTGTGTGCATTCCATATTCATCCCGATAAAGAGTTCTGTGAAACAAGAAGGTTAGTTCACTACTCTGCAGTCCTAATAACAGTATTATGATGCTGGGGTTGTCTGGATTTTCTCTCATGGTCCAATAGGGTTGACTGTAATTATAATTAATTATGGATACTGAAGAGGTAATATGGAGTTTCCCTGTACTTGTATTAAGCAAGTCTTTCCCACCAGATGTAATTCCATGTCCTTAAGGTAGTCAAAGTGGGAAAACGTATATCAGAATTACAAATAGTAAGATTGGGGGGGGGGGGAGAGATATAAACTGGTACAAATGGCAATAGACAATGAATACTTCCTAAGTGCCACCACACTAGGGAATGATGGTTAGGAATCACAGCCAATTACTGCTCCAAATGACCTCTTCTAGACAATGGAACTAGTCTGCGGCAGAAACACAGCCCTCAGATGGCTTATTCTGGAATAGCACATAGCATTCAATGACCAGCTGAAGTAAGCAATTTGCTGACTGCAAGAGAGAATCAATGCAAATGCAAATATCCAATGCTGAAAAACATGTATATGCTTACTTTGTGTGGTCTCATTTCCCGTCTACCCAATACACTTGCACATACAATTTGTTAACATCTGAAAAACTGTTTCACCTGTTTTTGCTTGGGTTCTTTATAATGACTAGTTACATACATGTGCCTCTCTGGATAATGCCTTGCAGACAGAGCAGTAAGCAGATACCTGGTCCACAGCATTTTTCATTATACCATCTTACAAGTTTCCCTCAAAGAAATCAAAATGTACAGTTTCATTAACAATGAGAGTATACATTGAAAATCTTCACGATGTTAAAAGGGAACAGCTTCTTTCATCTGTTATTAGACAGTCCTATCGTTGCAGAGATTAGTCAGAGGAACATATCTATCAACCTGTGTCATCTATATATGTAAAATGCAGTTTAAAGCTACCTAGGAACAGGAAGCCCATATCCACTCGTATTCATCCAAGTGTACAATTTGTAAGACACTATATGATGGTCAAGCAGCAACAAACACAGTCTTTCTGACAAAAACAAACATATATTACTAGCATCTTTCCAATTATCCCAAAACCTGATAGAACCGCAGGACTTTCTTCAGGTCTGCCAAGAATAAATCAGCTCCTGCATCAGATAGGTCATTGACATCAGGCAAGAACAGGTTTGCTTTATCAGGCGTAATCAAGTTATGCGACAAAAAGTGTACACCAATTTCATTACAAAAGCCTACCATTTTCTTGTTAACATGCTTTTGAGCTTTTGCAATCTGTTCAGGATTTTGGTCCATCTTGCAAGCACGTCTTGGCAACAGTGAAGACCAAACTATAGTAGCATTTGGGAACGCTCTTTTAAGAATGCCCAAGTCATTTTTCATGGATATAATGAGAGACAAGTTATCGTTGGGAAGTAGATCATCTTCTCCAATATGAATTATTATAAGGGATGGAGAAGAACGGAGATGATAAATTTCATGCAGAAGAGGCATGAGCTGTTCCCACTTCATTGCCTGTATCCCATGCCAATACACATATGCCCTTGAAACAGAGATGCCCAACTGCAATCCATGTGGTAGAATTTTAGCTCTCTTCTTTGATGCCAAGATCACAGAATTGCCACATATCCAGATTTCCTTTGGGGGAGGTTGCTGTCCTCCAGCACCTAAAAGTAAAATGCCACATTAGTTCAACTGCTTCAGATTGACCCCTGCACTAGCTTACTGTTCCTCCATCCTGAAAACGCTAGTACTAAAAGGTTAAAGACTGAAATTTAAAATCTATAAACATGTTAATATGCTAGAAAATTTGATCAGCATTCTCTCAAGACCAAAATCAAGAGACCAAGCTAGCTGCACTTTTGAGAAGACAGAAGTCCACTAATATGCAGCAGAATTAAAACATTCACAGAAGCCTGTTAAGACAACTGACTGAGGAAAACCCACTAAGAGGATCAAGGATGGGGTAGGGTGAACAGTGCAGCTGAGCTCAGCACACGAGGAAACACACAAAAAAGGATATCCCCCTCCTTCAGCTGTAAGCACTCGTTTTCAGGAACAGGTGACAGGACTATCACTGCCACGGGTCATGAAAAGAGCTGGCTGCAGAACCAGTCTCAGCACCACTAATCCTTCCACTATGAGCAGCAGCCCAGATGATACGCAGGCAGGGAAGACAACAGTTGCTGAGTGATCCTGACATCTGCACTCACCCACTTATCAACCTGAGGCTATAGTGTACCTAGCTGTAGCAAATGCAGCTCAATTTGACCTGAATTGAAGAAGGTGCAATAAAGTGTTTTTTCTGACCAAGAAAGACCATTAAGCTGCTTTCACAGGAATAAGCATTCTGGGGCAATTTCCCCCACAAGGAAAGGCCACAGCAGAAACCAGCAAGTAGAGGCAATTTGGCATGCCTCATCTTCTTGCCACCCCAGAATTTTAGCATGGCCAAAACATGGTAATCTTATGCTGCAATCCTTAGCATACATGGTAAGGAGTAATGGCCACTGGGCATATGGAACTGACTTTGGAGTTAACATGCTTAATTTTGTGTTGTTAAACTACATTTTACATATATAAATGGCAGAGAAAGAGAAAGTGCATCTGTACAGTATTCTGTTTGCCCAGTTCAGTGAACTCTGTGCAGTTTTAACAGATCTCGCCACTGCTGTTTTCACAAACATATCTGTATGAACCAAAATTCAGGCAAACAGAAAAGATGCTCCTCTCTCTTTATTTTTTTTAAGAGTCAAACCCTGCACTCAAACCTGCCTCTCCTCCATCAGCAAACAAATACTGCAGGTATTGACAACTGCAGGTTATTTACTGCATTTTTTCGTACGATTACTACAAAGAGTTTTATTAGGTAAGAGGGGAACCAGCAAGATTAGTCTACTTACCTCTGTGATGAGACTAGTGTCATTTAGAATGAAGGAGGAGGATATAATCAACCACAGCAGTAAGAGTAGGAAGATAGGAAAATTCAGTGAGTGGTGAAAATAGTCAAGAGCATGGAGATGGCCATTTGAATGGCAGGTGGTGCTAAGAACCTGGCTTGAGAGTTTTTTTTAAGTATCAAAACTGCAGTGACATAATGCAGTAGATTCTTTTTGGCTGTTAGCTTCAAAATCCGCACACAGAGAAAAATAAGGGGCACAAGTCGCAATCATTACGCTTTGACATCTGTGGAATGTGAATTATACCTACCACCTGTAACTCAGTTCCATAGAAGTTTTGAATAAAAGCACCAGAGAGGAAAAAGAACACTTCCAAAAAGAGCATCTGACTGTAATTAGCTGGTTTCTTTTTATTAGATGGATTAATACTTAAGATAAATATAAACAATATATGGCAACAAACAAGGTTTTAAAAACCCACAAAACAAAACAAAACTACATCTTAACGAAGTCACACATAACTTGAAAAACTAGGGTAGAAAAAATTATCTGAACCTTGTTTTGTGTCAAGAACACAGAATCATACTGCTGGAAGAGAAGATGAACAAGTATAATACTCTACTATGAAGCTGGTCACCCACCCCCCAGCTTCCCACAGATTATTAGCCCGTGCAATCCAGAGCAGAGTGCCCAACTAGTAACTAAGTGGAACTCAGAAATGTGCATGAGGTACAAATAGATCCAGGTGTTTAAACAAAGGAGTTGAGACATATATTGGTCTTAAAAGTAAAGTGGATTTGATAACTAAAAGTCACTGCTTCCAGTCTAATGTTGCCAGTCACACCTTCACCAATTATGGCATTAATAAGGGAGACCAAATCTAGCTCTCTGCTCCCAGTGCTATCATTGATTATTTGACCTGGGGTAGCTGAGGGAAGGAATTATGTGCATAGCACCTATGCATGCACACAGAACATTTCTGGAAACATATGTCCGCAGCAGGCTGTCTAGTTTTTTGCTGGATAAGCTATAGCAAAGCACATGAACCACGTATGGAGATCCAAAATAAATATATATACTTCAGAAATTTCTTAAAGCCAATGAGATTCTTTGGTGCCACAGAAATTCTGGGCACCCAAATGCAGCATTCGAAATTTCTGTAGTTGAAAAACCTTTAATTTCCAGCTGAATTTATTTAATGGCCAACTAGGAAAGGTTGCTGTCTTATGAGTGATGAGCCTCTCTTATGCTGGTCACAGTGACTGTTCCCATCTTTAAGGCATGCCCACAGTGTTATGAGCACTGCTCAGCAGTACAAAACTTTAGGCTGCCGTTTTTGCAAGACTTATCCAGCAACATGTCTGCAGGGTGCTCCCTGTCCCTAGCAGAGCTGGTTTCAGGGTGGAAGGACTACTATCTTCTTGCTGTCGATATGCCCCCAGGCAGGTAGGCAATCTCCTCACTTTCTTTGGTCCAGCAACTTGATATCCAAGGGCACCTGCCTCTGCCACATGCTTCCCCTCAGTCCTGGAGAAGTGTCTGGTGATGCATACCTGGATTTTGATGCTGTATGAATCCTGCTCCTGGTGCACTGCTGGATCCTTCCAAGCGATCAGTGCAACCTTGAGAGCATACTGTCCCAGTTGTTCCTAGGCAATATTTTATGTGAGCTACAATGTATTTTTCACTTGATAGTATTTGGACTACTACCCCTGGAAACATGTATGCATTCACTCAAGTATTTCCACAAGTGTACTTGATCAAGGAACAATGGCTGGTATGGATTTGAGCCAGCAACTTCCTGAGTTTGTTCACGCTTGCTTGGAGACAGCACTATTACATTCTCTTGTCTGTTGCTACCACTTGATTCTATGCTTTTCTTCCATTGGGGTTTGCTAGAGGGGTAAAATGTTTTGCGTTCGAGCCAGTAATCACCTAAGTATGTTTGCTACCACTTTAGCAGACAGCACCAGAAGGGCCCCTTGAATGTGACTGCTGCCCAGTTGTCTGCACTTCGTACATGTTAGGGGCACAATGGCATGGCCAAAATGCCTCCAGCTTGGCTTACTGGCCCCCTTCATGTCTGCATTATACGCAGCATGTTCTGCATAGCACCAGATTGATGGACAGTGGCACTGTTTCCCTTTTTGTGTATTTTCCAAGTAGTGTGTTTCCCCACTCCCAGTCTGAGTATGCACTGGATATAGTAGCCTTTTTTCTGGCAAAGCAGCAACATATTGTTGGTCTCAGTGTAAGGCAAACATATGACTGCTTTGTTAATACAGTATCTTTGGAAAAGCTATAGGCAGAACCAAATGCTAGACAAAGAGAGGCCAAAAGCACAAGACAATAAAGATCGTCTTCTTCTATAGTACTTACATCTATTGTTCAGAAGTATAAGGACCTCCTGATCATGCATTGTCTGACTTGCTGTATGACACAATAACATTAAAGCTTATCACATATAGCATGGTACCTATACTGATTCAGCAATTGCTTTTTCTAAATATTTCAGGATTTTATATACCATTGCATTTGTGCCCATATTCTTTTTCAACTCTTTATTTACTACTTTCTGGTTTCATAATGGGTATTCCATTGCCTTAATTGTTCCACTTGCCCACTTTAATGCAGTCACTAAAAATCTACATTATTAATTCAGACGTTTATGGTGTGGGGTGCACAATCAATTTATAGCACAACATGTGTTTTCTGCATTTTCTAATATTCCACAATTAATTCTATCCTTTCTGGCCTTGTCAAAGGCCATGGGACACAGAGACAAAACTTTCCGTTTCCTGCTAAATAAAGAAAAATCTACCCTTGCTCTCAGTGAGTTGCAGCTAGATATATAGTTGGCACAATTACCACAGTCATGCCACACTAGGCAGCTGTGGTTTGGAAGCTTTTCCATCCTCACTCACTTGCTGCCATTTTTTCCAAACAGGTGTGGGACAAGATACAGTGGCATGGAAATGGCAATCCCTGCAGGTTTGTGTTTCGGAGCATCTCGCTTGGGGTTGCAGCCCCATCATATTGGAGGGCGCCTTGACTTACCTGTTACCTGTTGCACGGCAGTTATCACAGACGTACGGATCTCATTGACAGCCTTCTTCTTCTTCCCCCCTCCTGCCAAGCGGGGAATAGGATTCAGGCCTCCCGGAGGGTCTACTGCCGGAGGGGCCACTCCGTTGCTGCCTCCCGGATTCAATTCCGGGGTGCCTCCCGGATTCAATTCCGGGGTGCCTCCCGCTGCTGCCATGGCTTCCGGGCCAAGCAAGCCACGCCGGCCAGCGATTAAAACCGCCTCCAAGGCTTTCATGAGGGACGGATTGGGGGGACTGTCCTTAGGATTGGGTCCCCTGGGAAACTTGTTTTCTGGAGTCCCAGGGACGACGAGGCTGTCGTCACTGGGCCTCTTGACTGGCTCCATGGCAGAAACAACGGGGAAATGGCAGGGAAGCTATGGGGTGCTCAAAAGGACCAAATTTTATTGCAGGTATAAGGGGAACTCCAGGCCCCAAAATAAACTATAAATATAGGGCGCTGCCTGTCTCTTGGGGCAGGTGCTTTGCAGGCTCAGCACTGAGGTGCTTCAGGTCCAGCACTGAGGTGGGGGCGGCGGGAGCCGCACCTGGCAGCACAAGCAAGCGACCTTTTAAAGCGGGAGGCGAAATGTAGGGCCCTTCGGGGTGGAAGGCAGAGGGGGCGGTTACTCTGCAGCCGGAAGAAGCGCGAGAGCGGAGGGGTCCAGCCCAGGCGCCCTTCTCTACCCCCCCCCCGCTACCCTCCACGGGTCTCAGCTCCCGAGAGAGGCGCGGGGGTTTCTGAGGCGCCCCCCTCCCGCGAACTCCGCTAGGCCCCGGGCGCTAGGCCCTCGCTGGAGAAGAGCGAAGAGGCAACGGGCCGTTGCCCTGGAAACGCTCGTCGTCGTCGTCGTCCCCCCCCCCCGTCTCTCCGTCACCGCGAGCGCCGGACAAACGACGACAGCGGCGTGTAACCGCGAGCAGGGAGCAGCTTCCCATTTAACATCGAGCGGGAAAAGGACCCACGCAGCCGCCGTAGCCAATGACCCTTCTTCCGGACTGAGGAGGGAAGTGCGCGTGCGTACCTGGCGCGGCGCGGCGCGCTACTATATCCTAGACTCGCAACTTGTAGAGAGTCGCCTAGAGAGGCTTCAGTTCGTGGTTCAGTTTATCCCTCGCTTCCCTCTCCTCCTGGCGGAGGTGAGAGCTGCGCAGGACAGCATACCACGCATGCGCAGTGCGGAGGGAGGAACAAAGATGGCCAAGATATACCAAAAATCTGCATGTGTTTTTATAGGGAACAAATGTGCCTGGGCTGATTTATATGTGTAGGTGCACATTTAAAAATAGTTACTGCGCCATAAACACAGTGGACTGCCCACGTGTGCTTAACCCTAACCCTGCTTCCCTGAATTCAATAGAACTTACATCTGAGTACAGTAGTAGACATGGTTAGGATTGTGCTGCATAATTGCACGGGGGGCCACCAGGTGGCGCATTGGAAGATGGCCGACAATAACATCTCTCCGACCCACACAAGGTAATTAAGAGGCTGCTATGGGAAGTATGCAGTCTTCCCGACCCCCCAAGGAGATGGGGGGGGGACTGCCTTGCTAGCGGTGGCCATAATGCACCCCCAGATTCAAAAGAAGGGGGTGCCGGCCACTTGGCACCAGCCCTTGGTGAAGTCGGCTCTTCCTGACGCTGCTTCCAATCTGCGCGTGCTGGTTCGCTTTAGCTCGAAAATATAATTGGAAATATATAATTGGAAAGAAGCTAAAGCACATACATCAAGCAAAGTCTGGGAGATAAGACTGCTGATTAATGGATCTCTGGGATCGGAGCGGCGGGCGTGACAAATAAATCAAGTGATGAAGCGCCATTAAGAGACTGGTATGTCTGGAGTGAAGAAGGGGGGTGGAGGAAAAAACTTTTCTTTTCTTTGCCTTATGTGAGTACTAATAACCCTCCACCCCAAAGAAAGAAGAATCGCCATATTTTACTAATCACAAGCAGGAATTTAAAAACTGTGTGGGGTGAATTAATGATCAAAGAGAGGACTGGTAAATATCGGAGAATGGAAAAATTCTATGGCGCAGTTTTAAATGGCGTCTCACAAGACAGGCTTGTCTAAGAAAGATGGAGGGAGGAGGACCAGGATTATTGGAATGTGAATGATGATTGGAATGCGATCTTAACCTGGCAGAGCCCTCTATGAGATATTTGACAAGCCTGGGAAAACTAAAGGGCAGACCGAAGATAAATTTTTGAAGGAGGAGGGGAACGGTGGCTGTCCCTATGAGATATGACTTGTGGAGTGTGCAAAACCCACACAGACGATGTTTGCTTCCAACCTGCTTGTGAAGATTATCAGAGATCGCAAAGAAAGGAATATATGACAACAAGAAGAAGATGAAGAAAGTAATAAAGTGACTATCTGGATAGAACTGTTTAATTAAAGCAGTAATAGAAGTGATGTTTGGACCCTCGTTCGGAGCTTGATGTATGGGTACCCCCAACAAAATTTAAAAATCTGGCTGTATAATTTGGAATTAATGTGATTTGAAATAATGTGATGTGATTGGCCTGTTAATAAAAATTATGTTTAAAAAAAAGGAAAGAGAAGATTTACATAATTGCAAACGTAACAAAAGTCATCATCAATAAATAAAACTCATCAGAAAGTGCCCAATCAAATGGAACGATTTCCACATAAATCATAATGGGATCTAAAAAATACAAGATACAACAAGTTAATAGCTGTAACAGTTATTAAACAAGACCCTGGGGCCAAGAGTCTGTTCAGCAGCCTCAGCTTTTGTGGCTGGAGTGCAATCCAGTTACCGTAATTCATGGACGCTGCAATTGTAGAACCTTTCTGGCTTGTCTTAAATATTCAAGTTGACTTGAGGCTGGCAAATTATAAGCAAAAGTTGTTTTGTGGGGAATGGGGACAATGCTGCCTAACGGTGCAAGTAGCCACCACTGAAACACTTGTATTCGAAAGGATTTCTTTTCTATTGATGAAAGTGAGTTGGAACGAAATGGCATAGAATACCGAGGAAAAAACATTTTGCCTATGCTCTTCACCAAACTACAGGTGGCAATCTTATGCTCACTTGCTTAGGAGGAAGTCTTATGAAATCAATGAAGCTTTCAGCGAGCAACCCTCAGTAAGATCACACTGTTATAATACATGAATTGACTATTATTTAATGAAGATATCCCAGCATGTGTTCTTACACCCACAAAGTCCCTTTGGACAAGATGCATTTCTCTCCCACTGCTTAACAAGCTATGGATTCATTTCCACGTTCATGTAAATGTTATGTGTTAATTTTATCTCTGCCTTAAATTCTAAGCGGGTATTATTACTCATTTTATGATCCAGGGGCTCAGATTTTTTTATTTTTTTATTTTATTAATTTGTTGATAGCTTGTGATGCTGCTCCTTCTGAACAGCCATACTGGACTGGAGGGTGGAGAATTACAATGTGGACATTTAAAATAAATAAAAGTCTCCATCTTACTGGAGAATACAGTATGAATACATAACTATATTCTGAGAGTTCTTATATGTGTCATGGAGTATTTAGTTAAAAGGCTGTATGGCTTATTCCTACCAGGGGAGAGCATGTGAAATTTGAATTGAAAACTGGAATAAAGTGTTATTTTAATCCTAGCCTGAGATCTTGGGGCAATCTCCCCCGCCCCACTTTCTCCTGGCCTTATATTGAATAGCAGAAGAACAAATGCAAAGCCCAGATGGTCCTTCTGATCAACAGCACATGCACACTCAGTGTTCCCCCCCTTTTGTATGTTAAACAAGAATGCATTTATTAAAGATATCAAGAATACATTTATTTATTTAAGAAAACATAACATGAAAACAAACTTTTCATAAAATTTCCTAATGTGCTTTTAGCAGTAAGGTAAAAGGTAAAGGCAGTATATCCATTTATCCCATATTAAATATGAATGAGCATAGATCTTTATTTGTGAAAGTTTTAAGTTAATGTTTATCATCAGCTTTTAAAAAAATAATAATATTAGGGTTTTAGCCTTCCACAGCATCCATGAGAAAGTTTTGTCAACAAGTGTGTGAAATCTGATAAATGCAATGCCAATTAAGAAAATGATTTATTTGGAAATAAATGGGAGATAATATGTTGAGAAAGTAGCTGACATTATTTACTTTGCTGCCAGCAACAATATGTTTCTAACAACCATTTATTACTCTACCTAATTGGTTACATTATCTCAAAACAGATCATTTCAAACAATTATCTTGTTTCAGCTGGGTTCGGAAACATTGAATCTTCATGCAGCACTAAGGTTATCTTCCTTCAATGCGAGTGTAACATTAATGTATGGAGCGTTGATTGGGATAGCAGTTGGTATATTCAAACAAAAAACCAGAGGACATTTTTCTTCTAGGAAAAATCAGTTCCTAAAATCAGAATTAAAGCTAGTACTAAATATTTTCAATAGGCCAAAATGCAAACATTATCTTGTTCTACATATTTTTGCTGACAGATGTCGCAGCCAGATCGCCCTCACATCCAAAGTTCTGCAGCAGTCTACATGTCATAAAGCTTAAGCTGTTCTTTGATGTCAGTTTCAGACATCTCCCCAAATGTTTCTGTTTTTTCCTTTAAGAGGGTGAAGATGGCAGTCAGTTGTTCTCTTTGGACCCTGCCAAGAAGAGAAGAACAATAACAGAAAGAGAAAATGGAAAAACCATTGCATCATAAACTTATAATGCCTCTGAGCAAGATTAATGGAGTCTGTCACAATGCTTTCCAATACTTCTTCTGCAGTTATATCTGGTGTCTCTGTGGTATGAGTACGATAGCCCTGGGATATTCCCCATCCAGAATTAAAAGCAGGAATGGAGACCTGTGGCCCTCCAGGTGTTGGACTCATCAGCCCTAGCCTGCTAACAACATCTGGATGGTACCATATTTCCCATCCCACACCTAAAGTCTGATTTATGGTAGGACATTTGAATGAAACCTTTCCCTAACATTCAGAATGGAAAATAGCATGCCCCTCTGGTTGTGGGGGACCTTGGTTTCTAATCCCCACTTTGAGTGTGTTCATTTATTAAATGGAAATTGTCTTTTCAGATACAAGAGCCTATTTCCCTTAATCCCACCAGTTCCAAAAACATGTTGTTTATCTTTTAGTCCCAGCAATCATGGAAGCTAAGACCAGTAAGGTGCTATGTTACGTATGAAGGTGTTTTATGTAAATAGATAGCTTCTTTAAGAAGGCACAACAGAGCAGTTGTTTAAAGCAGGGTTTCAGTTTAATGTACGTAATTTAGAGGGAAGTGATGGGATGTCTAAAAACACCTGTAACTTCAGGTTACTTCTCCCATCCGTTAGACGATGGACATGCTCTGTGACTTGTGACATTTTTGTATGTCCAACTTTGAACTTCACTTTGTAGAAACAAGCATCTCTGAAGTGTGTCACCCTTAAAAATGACTATAGTTCCAAAACATACTTTTCTGATGGTCTCCATCACACTGATACCTTGAGGAAGGGATCTAGCACTTATTCTTCATTGAAATTAGGGACAACTGGGGATTAATCATTTGCTACTCAGGAGTCAGTGAGCTTGCCATGAGTTGAGCAGTGGTCCCAAAGGGATATGTGTGGTACAGAAGCAAGTTCAGTTTAAATGAACCTTCAGGGGTGAGAGGACATCATGTCTGCACAAACTAATGCTTAAGCGCTGATTGCATATTTTATTTCAGAAAATCATAGATGTCTAACAGCAGGGGTGAGATCTTTAATGTGGAACTCTCATTCTAAACATATTTTAGCGAAGGGGAGGGAATACTAATAAGTCCTGCCCATTCGAAATCCCAGTTCAGTCATCCTTCCCACCCTCCCATATAAAGAGAGAAACTAGTTCTGCCCCCCCCCCCTTATGGAACAAGTCAATCTTAAGGCACATCTGAATGGATAAAGCAACAGACTTCTTTGGAATGTTTTAAAGTCTATTGTGATATGAACTTCTATGGGCAAGAACCTTGAAAAATTCATGGCTTACACGTGGCAACTGTACTGGTGTAAGAACATGCACATTCTTGAATCTGCAGTTCAGTTGAATGTCGGTTTCTTGATGTGGCAAAAGAAGAAATATTGGTAAATTCAGAAAGACTGGATTTGGAAC